CAGGCCCTTTCCCCACTCTGCAGAGTCAGCTGTGATACGGGCCTTGACTCTGCAGTTCGTGCTCTCTCTGCCCTGCTGCCCAGCACGTGCTGGGGCCCTGGGCACCCTGAAGCTCCCCTGGGAGACGACAGGCAAGAGTGGCATCAGGCTGCCCACCAGGAAGGACAGGCTCCCTGCCAGGACCCCAGCAGGGACAGGCATGCCCACTCCCAGGCTCCAGAGGGGAGCAGGGCCTCTGCTCAGACATCCAGGGAGCAGGGTCTTGTGGGCTCTGTGCTCTGAGCTCCGGGCCAGCGGGGATGGGGAGCCAGGTGCAGGGAGGACGTGGCCTGAGGGCCTGTGTCAGCCCACCCCACCCTCTGTGACCCAGTTAGGTCCTGGTGGCATCTGTGTGGATGTCAGCACAACCTGGGGGAGGCGAGAGCAGCTGTTTGGGGTACGAGATGTATGAGGAGCTGCAAACTGCTCCCCACCAATGTCAGCGGCTCGCTGTGCTTTGCAGTGGCAGCTGCGCCCCAGTTCTAGTTTAAGGCATGTCAGATAATTTGTGTAATTCCACAGATGTCCCACTCCAGATCCACTGTGGACAACTGTGCAGAGTGAGGACCCCAGAGCTGGGTTTCTCCCCAGGGAGCTGACTGCACGCTGACAACCAATCGGTCTCCTGATGTCACATCTTCAGATTGGTAAGAAGGGCAATCTGGTCTTAGAGCTTGGCTGCTCTGAGCTGACCTTCCACGGATCCAGGTGACTTTCTGAATTTATAGCTTGGAGGTGTAATTCGGGAGGCTGGGCTTCTGCGGCTGGCTAGCCCTGAGCATGTGACTGGGGAAGGCTCGGGACAGGGGCAGAGTTCCACTCTGAAAGTGTGAGTGGAGGTGTTTCAGTGTAGGCCCTAAAAGTGTAGGACAGACAGAACAAAGAACAGGCTGCCCTGGCTCATGACAGCAGGAGGCCACAGGGGAGGACATCACCTCAACATTCCTAGGACCCAGGGGGACAGCAAGTGCTGTGTCATGTGGTGGCACAGAAAAGAATGAAACCTGAAGGGACCCAGCTATGGGCATCATAGGGGCCTAAACAGGAAAGAGACAGAGCCCGGCAAGCTTGCTCAGCTCCTGTCCTGCCTTTGTTGGTACCTATTGAAGGCAGCCCCATAGCACTGAGGATGCCGGGGAACTCGGCCCTAAGACCCAGCCTGCCAGGACCGCGGGAAGAACAGCAAAGGATCTGGAGAGGGCATTGGAGCAGGGGGAGCACAGAGGCTGAACACTGGCTCACACTTTCTCACAGAGGGTAGAGCTGACCCTTGGAGCCACCCTGACGTTCTTGTGACCCACAGTTACTGTGTCAGCACCCCGAGATTGTACACTGGTGTCTAGCAACCCCTCTGCCTTTCCGATGCTCCCAGGGGTGGTTGGGACTGAGCACTTAGAAGCTGGGATTCTCAGAATTGAAGTTTTCAGCCAAGCTTGGGAGGCAGAAGACAGAGAAGTTATTTTCCCATAGTAGCTGTGGACAGGCCCCAGCATTCAGCAGACAGTAGTCTTAAGGTTTGGCCTAAATCCTCTCCATGCTGCTAGAGAGAATCGCGAGACCATCAGCACTGGGCTCCTGAGCTCCCGCAAGCAGCTGTTCTCAGGCCCTTTTGGGGGTCTGCAAGCATCTGTCTCCCAAGATGTATCCTTGCTGCTAGAAACATAGGAAATGTCCTTTATTTTTTGGTAGCATCCTGATAAAGCACTTGGTACTGAGATTCCAGGAAATACAATAGCAAAAATAGGAATCTAGGATTCACTCATAGGCCTGGCTTGATCTGAAGGCAGTCACACATGACCTCGACCTCGTTGCTGGGGGATGGCGGGTTTGGGGAGCCCGTGGTGAGTGATACCAAAACAGTGACTCAAAGGATTACTGGTCATGCCTAACATCAGTTACCTGTTAGAAGGAACTGTTCTTTTGCAAAAGAATGCTCTAGTGGAAGAAGTACGTAGTCACTGAATGCGGTGGAGTGTTTACAGAAGCAAAAGCAAAGCAAAATTAAAACCCAACAATCTCAGAACTTCAAATTTTCAACTCCAAGTTATAATCCAGGAGCCAGAGAAGCTTCTATACCTGGCTGTAAAAGAATCAGAACCCTGCCCAGAGTTGCTCCTGAAGGTGACAGAATTATAGCAAGCCTTGACCTCACAGTGGCCTCGTTAGGTGCTGCCATGCAGGGCTGCTGACTGGGGACAAGACTATTAGAGCCCCAGGGGTGTGCATGGACCCATTATCCTGTGTAACTAACATGAATTACTAAAATTCCCAAAGCTCTAGGCTCCTACTTCAACTTGGCTTGTTCTGGATTCTTCTCCTGAGCTCTTTGCTGCTGGCCTTCCAGTCCTGCTCCTTCCAAGCCTACCCAACAGGCCTGGCTATACACTACTGCCCAAGAAGTGTACCTCAGCCCAGGTCTCCATGTGGAGGAGGTAACCCAGGGCACCACCCAGACCTCTGCCTACAGAGAGGATTTTTCCTCACCATGTCATTCAAGGACAACCCCATATGGGTCCACGGGTCCATGCCCCAGCCCTTTTGCATGGGCTCTGCAGAGGCAGGCCGGAGATCGCGTCCCTTGTGTCAGCTGGTATAAGGTATAAGAGAGGCTTCACTGCAGCCAAGGTCAGTGCCATGGCCCCACCACATCCATACCACTTAAGCTCACTGGAGCCCCTTAAATTTCCATCCCATGGACCACTGCTTGCCCCGTATGACAATCCTGCAGTGTAGCAGGAATTAAATCACAGCATCACAGCTCTCTGCTTAAAAAAATAAAGGCACTCTGCTTCAGGTTCCCCAGCCACATACAGCCATCCTACCTGTCTTGTCAGGCACTGTAATGTCTGCTTCCACCATGGCCACGTGGACAGACAGGCACTAGGATTCGCTGGGAGGAAAAATATGGCAATGGAGGACCAACCCCTGCATCCTCACTAATTTAAGCTGGGGGTGAGCGGTCTGCAAATGCCACACTGGTTGGAAGGAGAGTAGCTCTCCCCACCCCTCACCATGCCAGACAGATGTATTGGATGGGAGACGGCAGGGAACAGCTTTGAGATCCTAACAGTGGTAGCCTTGTGATTAGAAAGGGAGCACACTGGGAGCTCAGCAGCCCAGCACCAGCGTTTGCGCTCCTTCCTTCCCCTGAGCTAACCTGGCCCCAGGGCCGGAGGAAACGAGCCTGTGGAGCAAGGTGCTCACACGGGTGCCTCAGTGCCAAATGATCTCTAGGTCACATGGTGAGCTGGCAGTGTGGCTTGTCCCGCAGTCTGAGCTCTGGGCAAAGCCCCCTCTTCCCCTGAGCCTCGGTCTCCACTGGAAACATGAACAGTCACCTTAAATGAGTGAGAGTACCATTTCCCAGTACGCCTTACGCTTCTACACAGTCCAAAGAGGACCCACCACTGTCGCATCTTTCATAGTGATACCAGGTCTATTGAGGAACAATTTGTCCTTTACCATAAGGGAACATCCTGGGGATGTCCAGACATGCTGGTCCCTAAAATCTTTACCAATGTGTTAGCACCCCGATTCTTATAGACTCATCTCTCACCCCCTACAGTATGTGTGTTATCAGGTAGTGTAAGGATCCTACCACTTCTTGTTCCCAAAACATGAGGAGCATTATGCAACACAGTGAGCCAATAGGACGCTGTACTGTCATGGACAGCAGGACAGCTAACGGTTCTGGAATGAGACAGTGGGAGTGAGCTACAGTGGCTCCCTGGTCAGAGAGTCCTGAAGATCCTCTCCCTCCTCAGAGGGAGCCGTGAGTTTCCCGAGCTGTGTCTGTGCACTGTGTGCGCAAGGACAGCACCCGGGCCGCAGCTGGAGCTGCCCTGTGACCAAGTGAGCAGCAGGACGTCCTTGTTGGCTGCCCCTGGGCTCTCCCAAGGCTCACCCCGGTGAACTGAGCTGCACAGGATGGAGTCGGCACTTGCTAGACTTTCGGTCTGTGAGGATGGAGCATCGGGCAACTTCACCACGGTTTCCACTCCCCGCATGGCGCCCGCTGTGGTGTGCTGCCCCCTTCCCTCCTTTAGATACATTATTTCCTCAACCATCAGCTCTCAGAATTTCCTTGGCTGAATCAATCCTATTTAGCTCCCTCCTGGGAAAAGCCTAATTTGAATGGCTGGCTGAGGCAGGGCGTCTCAGATGACAGCCCCTCACCCCAATTCAGGGCACCTGTGGAAGGCCAGCCCCGCCTCAGAGGGCAGGCTTTCTCAGTCTGGTCCTGCTTTCTCCCCTCCCCACATGTCCAACCCAAGAGCACCTCTGTTTCCCCCTCCTGCACAATCTGACTCCCAGGAAACTCAAGCCAGCAGCTACCTTGGCCACCCGACAGCAGTCCCCTCAATCACCCCTGGAAACGGAGAGGGGAGATAGCACCGCTTCCCCAACTCCCTGGTGCTCCCATTTTTGATCTAGTAAGAAGAGGGAAGGAAAGGGGTGATCTCTAAATTCCAAGTCATAACTTCCTACTTCAAGCTCCAAACTGGACCAATGTCCCCTGAGCCTAGCCCTGGGCACAAAGGCATTTGCACTGCAGGGCGGGGGAATTCCTGGGTACAGGTCTGTGCTGGACACTGAACCCCACTAGAAGCAGAGCTGGGCACTGATGAGGTAAGAAAAAGAGACTTCCAGGGTGATATAGCCCTTAACACTTAGCCAGGCGAATCTCTGCTCCTGGACAGGGAACCCAAGGTGATCTTCCTTTCAGCACTTTCCTACACTTATCCCAAGGATATTCCCCCTTGTCAGAGTCCAGGGCTCTCCACTGGGTCCCCCATAAGCTGGTGCACCCCTTCCCAGCCCTGTGTTGGATATTTCCCCCATGGGGTCGGGTATCCAGGAGAACTGAGCCCATGCCTATCTTCCTGATGCACCTTGGTGTCTGTGGCCAGATGTGAGAGAACAGAGGGGAAGAACACTTTGACACCTTGTGACTCCATTTATCAAGTGAGCATGGCGGCAAGCAGCACCTGAGATCCCAGGCCCAGAGCTAGGAGGCCATGGGGGCTGCAGGTGAGGGAGCTCTCAGGGCTTCCAGACAGGGTGTAGGCTCTGCCTTCCTTCTGTGTCTCTTCTTGGATCCATGGAATAAACTGAGCCACAGACACAAACATGCCGGGCCTTCCCCGGGAGCCAGAGGTGAGGCCCCAGCTGAAGACGCCCACCTGGAAGAGCCTGTGGGTGCCCCAGTTAGCACACACCATGGGCGCCCCACTGTCTCCCTGGGAAGGAGAAAAGAAGCAACAGTCTGTGTGCCTCCAGGGGGGCTTCCAGCCAGAGAACACGGATGGGGCCAGGGGTCTCCCTGGGAATCTAGAGAGATGGAGCAGGTGTGAAGGGTCCCGGGGGGCTGAGTACCCAGCAGTTGCCATTGGTGTCCAGTTCCTGCCGGGCACAAAGCATCTTTGTGGACAGCTGCTGCACTCGTGTCGAGCACGCCTTCCAGCTGAGCTGGGTCACCCTCAGCTTCTGCAGCTGCATGTTCCAGGATGTGCCTGACCAAAGGAGGAAGCCAGGGAGAGAGGTTCATGTCGTTGGACCCCCTGACCAGGTGACAGCCCCAGAGGGCTGAAAGGCCATGGGTCACTTGCTCACAGATGGCCTGGCAAGGTCCCACTCAGTAGCCCCAGCAATGGCTCTTTGCTTCGTGTCTCAGCGTGAGACGTTCCTTCCCTCCAAGAGCAGCCACCAAAAGCTACCACCTAGCCTGGCCAGGGCACCAGGAGGAGCTGCCTCCACGACCCCTGTCACCTGGCAGCCAGGCTTTGCCTGTGCCGAGTGGAGAAGGGCCCAACCCCAGAATCAAGGTGTTCAGGGCCTCTACAAAGCCAACTGCAAAAACCAGGAGGACAGGAATGGACGCATCATCTGGGGGAGCAAAACAGCCCGAGGGCCTTCCCCACAGGAGCTCTTGGACTTCGGCCCATTCCACTCCTTTCCTGCCAGCCCAGGGTCCAGTGGGGCAGGAGTGGAGTCATTAGTTTCCCTGGTCTAGAGAGCCACTGGCTGGCATTATCTTAAGATGATCGATTGTGTGGGCAGCAGATGGGGGAATGGGCATTGTCAGATATCCCCTGAAGGGATGAACTAAATTTTATGGAGGAGCCATAAAAATTATCATTGCTGGGGCTGGGGAGATAGCTGAGGGGCATAAGCACCTGCCTTACAAGGCCAAGGTCCAGAGTTCCATTCCAATACCACATACATACAAAAAAAAAAAAAAAAAATATCATTGCTATCCTGTTGTGAGAGTCCCCTATGTACCCAGCTTTTCTTTATTCTACTTCACTCCAGTAACGGGTATTGAACCCAGGGCTTTTGCACTAAGCTACACTCTAGGCCCTTTTAAAATTTTTTTTATTTTGAGACAGTGTATCACTATATTACGAAGTTTCCTAGCTTGGACTTGAACCTCTGATCCTTCTGCTTGAGCCTTATCTGTCCTAAACTTTTAGTGGGGACCTTACTTGTATAATTCTAATTTAAACTATATGGCTTGCTTGATGAAGTCATATAGGTGACAAAAGATGAAGGGGAAGAAAGTGACGAGCCAAGTACAAGTACAGTAGGAGGGCGTCAGTAGGAGGGCGTCAGTAGGAGGGCGTCCCTATTATGCCAGCACTCTGGGAGGCTGAGGCAGGATTGCAAGTTCAAGCCCACTCTGGGCAAACTAGCAACTTAGTGCTGCCTTGTCTCAACAAAAACAAACAAGCAAGCTGGGGATGTAGCTGACTGCAAAGGCTCTAGGTTCCACCTCCAGCACTAACTTTGAGAAGGGGAGGGGTGTGTGTGTGTGTGTGTGTGTGTGTGTGTGTGTACAAAGGATCTTGTGCAAATTCAGATCCAAGTCTTCCTTCACCCAAAGCGTCATGCTGCTTACCCCAGGGCAGCCTAACTTGGACCTTCTCTGGGTTCCGAAGGGGAGACACATACCGTACCCATAAGCTGATACCCACTCTGCCATCCAACAGCGGTCCCAGGACACCTCCTTCCCCTGCAGGCAGATGGGCATTTTGAAGGGAGTGAACTGTACCGGCGTGGCCAGCAGCAGCAGGGCCAGGTCGCTGTCCAGGTGGGGCGGCCTGTAGTCTTGGTGGATAATGATCTTCTGCACCTGTTTTCTCTCCAAGTGGGTGTCACTGAAAGCTTTGACTCCCATGACCACAGTGACATTTACCACTGCCATTTCAAATCTGAAGAATGAATACAGAAGCCTTAGGATTAACCATAGTCAGGGGGTGTGGCGCATTCCTAGCCACATTCACAACCCAAGGAATTACAGCTGTAAATACTGAGAAATCCAGAGTAGTGGGTGTGTCCTGGTGGCCTTGGGGTGGCTAGATGTCAGGTAGATAGGGGTGGGCCCAGACTCCAGTCAGTGTCTGAGCCGGCACTCCCACCACCAGGGAACCCCTGGCCAATGGAAGGGGAATGGCTGTGTCCTCGAGAAGGGGTTGGGAGCTCCTTGGTGACTGAGTGCTGGGCTGTCCCATCAAATGCTGCACCCCCAGTACCTGGAACAGCACACAGTAGGTGCTCAAGGATTGCAAGCACAATGAACAGTCCAATGTGTTGCCTTCATAGCAGAAGGCAGGGGGCAGAAGGGAACCCCATGCGGATACTCGGGTACAAGCAGCCTACCTTGGTGCATGGTAGAGGGGGTGAAGAGGAGAGAGTGGGTGGAGAGCAGAGACTTGGGGTCCAGAGCAACTGGAACACACTAGGTCCAGAACCCGTGGGCTCCGAGGCCTTGTGCGCTACTCCAGCGCGGTGGCCCAGACAACACGAAGATGAGACGCGGTACAAGACATGATGATGGTCCAGGCACTTACAGGGTCCTTGGGAAGCAATGTGCAGCCGTGAGGACCCACCACCGATGTATGATGGAGCCTCCGCAGAGGTGCCTCCGGGCCATCTGGATACTCACTTGCCAGGGGAACTCGCCGTCCTGGACTTGCAGCAGCTCGCGGAACGGCAGCCACGAGGTGTTGAGGAAGGCTGGTCTGTAGCCACAGTGAACAGACTCTGAAAGAAGAGCCCGTGGGCACATGAGCTGTGCAGAGAAAGCCTCGGCCCATGCTGCCCACTCCTCTCCAGCTGAGGCCAGCACAAAGCCCAGTGAGGGCGAGTGAGTGGCTCCAGGGACAGCCAGAAAGCACTGGCAAATTGCACTCCCTTTATAAAGCATCCATTCCTCACTTTCTGGGAACTGAGACCCAGGAAAGAGGCCCACCAAAGAGGCCCCAGGCCATTAGGAGCCAGGACCGTGTGGTAATTTGGCCATTGAAAAATTACTATGGGCAATCACTAGCTATAACCAGAAGTAATGAAGAGTCCACCCCTCTAATCCCACAGGGGTGGAGGAGCTAAGAAAGCAAGGTCCTTTCTACCCCTAGGGCTCAAACTTACTGGAGAGCTCCGTCCTCGACACACTGGGAAATGAAAAGTCTTCTGGGTCACCCAGGTGAGAGCCCATAGTGAGGTGGAAGAACAGGGGTGCCCCTGTTTGTATCATTGGCAAACAGGGGCACCCCTGGCAGTGTGAGACCTCCCAGGGACTAAGGCAGGATGGGGTGCTGCTCAGGAAACTGTGGGGAGTCTAGTCAGACAGCAGCTAAGGACAGCAGTGGCTTACAGGTCATCCCTTTGCTGCCACTAGTAGACGTAGGTGTGACCTCACACAGGTGTGCAAAGTAGGCCGGCTCTGGAGGGCTCCAGCTCTGCTTGTTGGGGCTGTGTTTGCAGTGAATGATATGTAACTAGTAAGTTTGCAATTACAGGCTTTTGAACTAAGAAGCACCAATGTACTGGAACAACAGCAACAAAAAGTTAGGGACCAATAGACAGAGGCCACCTTGACTCGTTTATATAACCAGGGACCCTGAGGAGGGACAGGGCTGAGCTCACTAAGGGATAAGGAGCTGAGCCCCACCAGCTGTCCCCATACACACACCCTGCTGGCCAGCACACCACAGGAGCAGGAAGCAGAAGACAGACGCAGGTCAGACAGCATCAGGAGATTCCCCTGTCCCAGCAGGAGCCCTCCCATACCTCCTACCAAGAGAGCTCAGGGCGCTGGGGGCAAAGAGGAATGCTTAGAGTCCAAGACAGGTGGCAGAGGGGCTTTGGACCTGAGAGGTGATATGCTGGGGGATCCGATTTAGCAAGACCCAAAGAAGGTGTGTGGCAGGGTGGGGAGACAGGGCAGGAGCAGATGCTACACAAAATAGACAAGGGCCTGATCTCCAGCAAAAGATACCTGAAAGAATCCTGCAAGTGGTCAGCCCAGGAAAATGAGAAACAATAAAAAAGCATTTGGTACAGAAATATATATATATATATATATATATATATATATATATATATATATACTAAAATTTCCCAGGTAAAACTCTGACTTGCTTTGTTGGAATTATAAAATAACTATAAAATGACTTTGAAGAAAGATGGTTTATAAATACACACATACATACATTCATATAATACACAATACACTCAGCCTCAACCCATATGGAAACTGACCTCAATACATTGTTTTGAAACATATCCTGTAATTAGAAGAATTTTATCCAAAACACTTGGAGTACTTTCGAGTACGGTGCTGTTTTACCAGGATGAAGGAGAGGCTGACAGTCAACCTCACTATTCTACAGATCCTCACACATCAGAGTTCAGGAAACACAATAAGGCAAATCACCAGAGACCCCCGCAACTCTCCACAACTCCGAGGCGAATGCCCATGGCCCAGGCAGGCAGTGCGAAGAAGAGGCCTTCTCGGGCCAGGGTCCTCTCTCGGGCGTTCTGCAGTGCTTCTAGCTATTACGTTTATACTTACATTTGGTATCAGTTTCTTGTACAGCATAAGCTAAGGACAAGTCTTTTGTCCAAGTAGATGGAAAGGGAGGACATTGAGTAAGATGAGCCAGAAACAGAAAGAGACACGCCCAGTGCTCTCGCCCACAGCCGAAGCCAAGAGAGTTCATCTCCAAGGAGCACTAGAGGCTGGAGAGGTCAAAGGGAAGAGAACAGAGAGGGGCCTGGACGAGGGGTGGCTGGGTGACAGTTCACTGTATGCATATAATGTGCATGCAAGAAAAATAGCATTGCCATCTCATTTTAACAGATTGCGGAACCCGTCAATGCCGTGGAACCCTAGAACTCATTCCTGCTGTCCACCGTATTCTGTCACCCCTCATCCAACCCCTCTCTGTTCTCTTCCCAACTCAGGGTGGGAAGTATAACTCTAGGAAACCCTAGTCCATAAAAGTTCTGGAATAATAAACAGCTAGCACACACTGACATTTACAGTGCCAGACGCAGTTCTCGCTGCTTTACACATATGTGATCCTCACAAGCCCTAAAGTGGGCATTGTACGGAACAAATACAGACCTAGCAAGTGTCTCATCTGCAGATCACGTAGCAAGACACAGAAGGTACAGGACTAGAACACGGTCTGGCTTCAGAGTCTGTACTTCCTTGCTTTCAACAAATCTGATTAGCTTCCTAACCTTGGGATGAAAAAGCCATCCACGTTTCGAATAAAAACCTAGTGATATAATAAAAATAGGGATAAATGTGTTATGTCAACTTTTGGGCTCAGTTTGGTCCAAAAGAAAGTTGGAAGAGTACTAAAGAATTAGGAGAAAAAAATTTACAACAAAAGAAGAGGCAAAGGGCTAACATTATTACAGTTTAAAATAGTCCCGCAAATCAACTTCTAAAGCTTACCCGAATAACAAAAACTATAGGAACAGGTCATTCTTCAAAACTGAGCAGAGAAAGTTATCGATAGGCTGGGAGTGACCTGACAGCAAGTGGGTCTAAAGGCAAGCATGGCATGTTCTTGGGGTCAGGTCCATCTGGGAAGCACAAATTAAATGACATGAAACCAACTTGTGTAGATAGAAAGCCACTGTGGTCCTGCAGAAGAGTGCTGGGCAGCCCTACTCCAGGTCCCCAACCCCTCCCTGTTCGGGGCATTGGAGCCAGAAGAATCCTGCGTTTTTGTGAAGAGGGTGGAGCTGGGAGCAGCACCTTTGCTTGCTGCGTTGCCCTTCAGGTGACACTCCAGGCCCCCTCAGAGTCCAGAACACTGGGCCTAGGCCCCCCGAGTTGACTCAGGAAACGTCCCACTGAGCCATGCCCACCAGCCCACTGGCTTCCCCAGTTACACCTGCATCTCCTGAGCCCTTGGCTCTAACGTGGCACCCTCAGGACTTTCTACAGAAGAGGGGACACACCGCTCCCCGTTCTCTGCTGCAGGCTGGCCTGCCACCCACCTGGCTCATCCTGGCACTGTCCCTTGAGTGCCAAGAGTAGCGAAATTAGGAGCGAGAGCATCTTGGCCCAGAAGCCCAGGATCACCCAACCTCACCTCCAGCCTATGTGGGTGGACACCATGACAGGGCAGCTGATCCGTGAGCATCACAAGCGCACGCACAGCCGGGCCCTGGTGACATCACAGTGAGCGCTGGGGCCAGGAAGGGGGTGCGGAGCTCTTGCCCTGTCTGGTGTTCCCTCTGCAATCGTGGTGGAAGGGCTGTGTCGGGCCAGTGTTCGTCTGCGTGGTCCCCTCCAGCCCTGACACTGAGCAACCTGAGGAGTCCTCAGGGCTCACGTCTTCCCAGAATCAAAGCTTTGGGCCTCTGCGCACATTCATATATTCTCTGCAACCAGATCTCAGTGACCTCCTGTGCCTTGTTAGGAGACTTCAGTCTGTCGGCCCTCCTCAGTCTTGTTGATATAGAGGAATGAAACTCCCAACCTGAAAGGTATCCAGGATGAGTTCATGTTCTCTAAAACCAAAGAATAAATTTTAGGAACAAACAGAGGTTAAGGGTAGAATATATTTATTGGGGGAAAGAAAGTTTCTGTCTGAGGGAGGGACCGAAGGGGTACCTGTGTGGGTTGACCCCAGGAAGCTGTCTTTTCCAGGGAATTTATAGAGTAAAACCTTGGGGTAAGGCAGGTCTAAGGTGGTGGAGAACATGAGAACTAACTTAGGTGGGCATGAGGTGGGACAAAACTATGGTCACCCAAAGAGATTACAAGCACCACTGCTGAGGTAAAATTGATTAAGTCCGGGACCAAATGAGGAAGCAAGTCATATAGCAAGTGGGTATTAATATGACAGGGTCTCTCGCTGTTGGGGGTTGGGTAAATGACTCTTTGGGATCTTTCAAGGTGATTGATACCTATTTAGAATATTAATCCTGATGCCCATCCCTAGGGAAGTATGTAGCTGTGTTTCCTCTTTTGTCTTGGTCTTGAGGTGTGGCCCACAGCTGGGAGTGTGTGTCTCTTCCAAGTTGCAAAGTCACCTTGTCTTCCATCTTGTCTCCTAGAGTGCCTGGCCCTGTCTGGCCGCCTATAATATTTCTGTCTAATTTAGCTGCCTGTGGCATTGTGAGGGGCTTTGCACAGGGCAAGGGATAGAATTAAAGAGGGGCGTTTGCTAACATCTGTGCTCAAGGATACTCTGGGGCGCAACACAGAAACTACTTAGGCAGGGTAAGACCCAAAAAGAGAGCAACGTGTGACGAAGTAGCTCTGTCAGCCTCCCTCCGCTGGCTTTCCTGGAGGCCACCACCTTATCTCTCCTCAAGCACAGTCAGTCCTCTTCGCTCCAAGCAAATACGTGGTGCTTGACTGAAATACAGCCAGAAGCAGTGGTTAGCCGCAAGAGTCCCCAGGATGCGAGAACCCCAGCGATCTTCAAGGATCCCTCCTCTTTTCTCAGGGGTCAGGTATGGTCCCTGTCACTCCATTCCCAAAACATCCTCCTCATTCCCATACCCTGCCCCCTTTTATCATAGCGCTAGTGACCATCTGCCATGGCCTATGTCCGCAGGCTTTGTTCACTCTCCATCTCTCCTGCTGGGCTATAACTTTGATATGAGAGAGGGCTTTTTCTTCACTCTTCTTTCCAACTCTTAACAGTCCTTGGCACATGTTAGGTATTTAGCAAATAGTATGAATGAATGAATGAATGAATGAATGAATGAATGAATGAACGAATGCTTGAGAGTTGGAGGTTGACCTGTGAATGCCTGTGCGATATTCCAGTCCTGGCCCTGCCCCCAGGGGCCTGTATTATCGTAAGCGAGTTATACGAGGAGTTTCCCCTCCTTTAATCAAAATCATGCAAGAATTAGAAAAGAACAGATTTCTGAAGTACTATAGACTGGTGAGTTAGGCAGAAGATAGCAAGTGTGTGTGTGTGTGAGAGAGAGAGAGAGAGAGAGAGAGAGAGAGAGAGAGAGAGAGAATATGTGCAGAGGAGGGCTGGCCAAAGGCAGAGAAAGGATAACCAGGCCTTGGTCAGATAAGCAGAGGCCAGAGGGGACACATTCACAAGAACCAGGTGGGCAATTAAGTTTGGAATGTGACAAGCCCTTAGGTACCAAGCAAGGTGAGGGTGCCGCCATGACAATTTTTGCACCTACCTACGTGGAAAACATTTTCCTTCTCACCATTCTCTTTTAATAAGCCATTTGGATAGGACAGAGGCCAAGCGGCACCTGAGGACCACACTTGCTAGACCCTCAAGGCCTCCGAGGCCCCTTTCTAGTTTAAGCTTCCCTAACTCCTACGTTAACCTTAGTCTGACTCAGAGTGGTCTGGGTTGGCTCATTGTTTGGCATAAAAACATCTAACGAAAAGTCCCCTGGTGACCTACTTTCAGGGCCCCTCCTGTCTACTGGGAGCTCTTTCTTGCTTCTTACTAAACATTCCTCCTGCCTCCTTTGTCCTCACGTTCATTCTTTGGCGGTTTGAGACATGGCCCCAGGCCGTGCTGTCACAGAAGCACAGAGTGGAGCCTCCCTCAGAGCTGGGCTGAGGCTTGGGAACCGACGGGTCGGCCTGGCTCCTCAGCCTGTCTGTGGCCTTTCCTGTGCCCGAAACACCGGAGGGGTCTCCTGGCCCAGTTTCTGTGACTGCTCCACAGCTTCCAGGTGGCAGCAGGGTACTTACACTTTATACACGACTTTCAGAAGTCAACAGTATGCCTCGGGATTCACCTATGTTCTCGCACACATACAAACTTTGTTGTATTGCTGTATAAAATTAGACTGAATGAAGGTGCCAAAAATTTAAGCCTTATTTTACAATTGAAGAGCATTTGGGTTGATCCAGGTTTTTGCTAACACTGGACAGTGCTGCTATGAATATTCTTGCTTGGACTTTGTAGACTATGTGTACGAAGGTTCCTCTAGGTTACTCCACAGCAGGAAGATGTGGACTCACGGGCCTTGTGACTTCAGAATTGTGAAAAAGGAGTACATTAAGTTTCATTTTGTACGCACCAATTTTACCTTTCACCAGTGCTGTGCAAGTGTTAAAATCATCACTGATTCTGCTGCACGTGGCTGAAGGTGAAATTGGCCATCCGTGTGAAGGCAGGGCAAGGCCGCAGTGCCTTACGTGGTCAAACTACCATGGCTTGAGATAAGTATCCTGCCTGGACAATTAGTCGCTAGGCAACCTTGTGTCTTGTGATGCTAACTTTGTGAGACTGTAAAGAAATGCCCTTCTGGTGCTGGTTAGGTCCTTTACCCATCAGGCAGAGGTCTTCCCCCGACCTCAGCTATTATTCTTTGTGTCTATTTTCTAAATCCCCTGTCCTTTTCTCCTGGGGACCAGCAAGAGACCAATAAGTCCCTACAGATTCTTATTTTCAAATTTTGATTTTTCTGATAGGCATAAAACACTATAAATAAAATTGATATGTTCATGTTTATTGTATATAAAGAAAGTAATGGCAAACACAAACTCCTTGGCTAGAAGGAAGTCATGGGACAAACCACTTCACTGCTCCTCCTCCTGGGGCTTCACTTAGAAGCCGAGAGGGCCAGATGGCAAGATGACCTCTGACGTCGCCATTGGGTACTGGAGCTAAGTGTGGGGCCATGAGCTGCCACGGACTCCAAATACAAGGGGGGTGGCTAAGGTTGTGACCTGGCCACAAAACGTCTCCTCTGCATTGGTCACGTGCTGACAGGTGCCTGCCCAGGCCTGGGAGTCAAGGCTATTGTAGGCTTTGTAGAGAGATACAAGGAGTAGCTCCAAGGGAAAAGCAGCCTGCCCGAAGCCCTCACAGAAGTGGTGAGGCAGGGACTGGCTTGAACACTTGCCTTCAGAGGCACATCACTAATGCAGTGTGCAGACCATCCTCTGCACTGTGGACAGGGGACACCTTCTGGGAACTGTGAGTCCCAGTGAACACCAGAGAGGAGACAGGGTGTATCGTTCCCAGGTCTCCGTGCCTGCTAGACCCTGATGAGAGCTCTGTGCCCGCCAAGTCCTAGTCCAGAGGTGGCCATGCAGATCGCCTGCTTGCTGGCAATGTCTGCCCAAGCTGGGCCATGACAGCAGAGGGGGTGGGCGGCTTGAGGCAAGGGTTCACAGGGGCTGTCCAGAAAACCACTGTACTGGAGAAGCCGCAGTCTGTCCTTGGAGACAGCCCTTCGGTAAAAGAGCCTCTTAAGGCAAGGCCACTGCAGCATCTAAACAGGAGTGATGCACTGACTGGGGCAGAAACCCAGCTTTGTGTTCTTCACTGACCTTTTGACGCCATGCCCTGGGATGGTCTGTCCTGTTCAGATAAGAAAGCTCGAGGAGGCCTTGTGGCTGTGCTGATTATTCTTGGAATCATCCTACAGCCACGACTATGGCCAGCTGCGCTTATCCTAGTAAGCTGACGCCAACTCAACCTGGCATTCAGTTCCCTCCTTGCCAGGCTGGCTCTGCCCGCTTCCCCCAGGGCTTGGGTCAGGGTTGATGGGAGGCACAGGCTGGGGTGAGCCAGCGTCAGCTCATCGTCCTCCAGGCCTGGCAGACGTGGAAGACCGGGTTTCGGGTGGGGTTTTCATCGGCTCTTTCATGCTCCCTGCTGGCCCACAGGGCTGATCTGTGTGAGCAGGTGGCTTCAACTTTCTCAGTCCTTGAGTGTCTGACTGTGCATCCAGCCCTCCTCCTTCTATGGCCCTCTCGTCCCTGCAGGAAGCCCGTGGCATAGAGTCCAGGGCCACCCCCAGCATCTCTCCCTGAGCAGCCCCAAGCAGTCTCAGGACAAATGCTGGCATCCAGGTTGGCCGCCATCTGGAAGCGCTCCTCCCACAGCCACAGCGGTCACAGCCCTGCCAAACTATACCCCCCCCCCATTTCCCAGGGGTGGTCAGACTTGGATCCTCAGAGGATCTGGTTGACATCTGGGAAAGGCTGGGAGAAGGCGCCCACCCGGCTCCCTGCCCTTCCAGTCTCTTCTAGAGCTTTAGAGTCTGCAAGGCAGAGCCTGGAAATCAGCACCAGCACTACCTGGTAAGACAGAGGCATCGTTTAACATGAAAGGCAGGTGGCATGATCGCCTTGTTAGTGTGATTGTGTGGCAAATGCCGCATGGGGCATATGTAAAAGTCTCTTGTTAATCAGAAACTCAAACTTGCTCTGTACTTTATTTGCTGAATCTGTCCTAATCCCGCTGCACACCATGGTCAGAGGACCCCTGGCCAGCACTTCCATGATGTCACCAGGAGAAGGCCCCTGGCAACAGTCCCTGCACTGCTTGTCCCCTTCTGTGCCGCCTTTGGTTTCGAGTTCCTGCAGTTCCCCCCAAAAACACTGAAATTGCTCTCCCATCTGTCCCCTAGACTTGTCCTAAGATGGGCAGCAGGAAACCCAGGGCCCAGCTAGCGAGCCACCTGAGGGCCAGGAGCTAGAGTGAATGGTGAGACCAGGGCCAGGGTGCAGGCGCATTGAGACCACCACCCCTCAGGCCAGGACAGCCTGTGGAGAGGGGAGCCATTAACCGGGGTACGCAGGGCTGACACCATCCCGGATCCACTCAGCAGGCAGTGCTCATCCAGGCAGAGGGGATGCTGGGTGGCCAGGAGAGGCTGTGTCCAAGGAGCCACCACTGGGAACTAGAGAAGATCAGGGAGCTGGAGGTAGCCAGAGCCACATCCTCAGTGGCAGAAGGGGCCTCCTGGTCACCTGGCCACACCTTGGACTTCTCCAGGCAGCACTAAAGGGAAGGAGTCCAGGAACACACAGAGGCTGGGACTGCTGGCTGCCTCCTGTGGCCTTGGGGCCCAGCCAGCGGCCACATGGCTGAGTCAGGCCTGGGGCTGCAGGTCAGAGTCCCCGACCCATGCAGGGTATGTCAGGAGAGGCAGTGTTCCTGGGGCTCCTCCTGTCCAGGTCCCCACGTCTCTGTCTCACCCTGCCCAGAGAAGCCCAGGGAAGAGAAGGACATGGACCTTGCAGAAGGGTTGGGAGTGGCAGAGGCCGGAAGTAGGGTGGCCAAGGACACCAGGTGAAAGTGGGTGATCCCAGCTCAGCCAGAAGGCGGCCCAGATCAGAAAGCCTTCCCAGACTGTGCTCTGGGGGAATCATCTTGAAAACAAGCAGTGGGAAGAATCTGCCTGACCTGACCCATGGCCTTTGTGACATCGCAGTCACCTGGGCCTTGAGAGGGTAGCTGTCAGGCTGGGCCCACTGCCCCAGCCCCGGCCCCAGCGCCCCTGCACAGCCCAGCATGCTCCTGCTCCCAATCCTGCTGCTCATGCCCCAAGCCCAGGCCGCAGACTTCAGTATGTGAACTCCTCTCCCCGGGGCCACAGCAGCTTTCTGGGCAGGGCTGGGTGGGACAGTCACATCCTTTAGTGTCCTCAGTAGGGACATCAGGGCCCTGGCTCAGGATCAGCTCACTGGCCACCAGGAGGCCCACTCATGAGAGCACAGATGGCAGTGGAGTGTTCCAGGCCATGCCTCCTCAATGCCACTTCTCCTTTTGGGGGGAGGGAGGCCCCCTTGGTCCCAGGGGCCCTTGCACTGTGCCACATTCCCCGCCCTCTAAAATTTTTATTTTTTATTGAAACAGGGTTTCACTAAGTCGTTAAATTGCCCAGGCTGGGCTCAAACTAGTGATTCTCCTGCCTCAGCCTCCCACAGGGATGAGCTGACAGGCCTGAGCCTCCATATGTGGCTGTCACTTCTCTTTCCTCCAGCAGACAGCCCAGCAGCCCCAGCTGGCCAAGGTCCAGGGTGCTCTGTCCTCGTGGGCGGCTCCCCCAGCTCCCTACCCGCCAGGGAGCAGTCAGCAGGCTGCACGGTGCCTCCCTCAGCCTCCCGCTCCATCCCCCAAGTGCCTTTGATTAGCTGGGGTCTCTTTGGCGCATCCAGGACAACCCCTTAATCTGGTTAGCAACCTAAATTCCATCTTCCCAAGTGCATGATGCCTTGTGAGGGAAAAACACTCAGGTCCTGGGGCACAGCCCTGAGAACTGGGGCCCAGCCACCCTGGGCTGGCTGGGGTCAGCATTTTCAATGCTTTTCCCCCCACAGCCGCAAGCTCTGTTGGCTTCCTGGGGCCACCAGTGGCACCTGTGACCAGACCAGAGCAGGAACAGGGATGTCTGTGGCCAAGCCCCCCTTCGGCCCTGCTGGCCTTGCGGGTGCTGACACAGCTCCTCCTCCTACTCTCTTCCATCCCAGCAGGATGTGGCGAAAGACCCATTTTCGAGGGCAGGACTCGGTATTCCCGGATCATTGGGGGGACGGAGGCCGAGGAGGGCGAGTTCCCGTGGCATGTGAGTATTCAGGTGGCCAATGAGCACATGTGTGGTGGCGCCATCCTCAGCGCATGGTGGATTCTCACAGCTGCCCACTGCTTAAACTTCGAGGAGATCGCGTGAGTACACAGGCCCTGCAGCCAGCGCTTCTGCCAGGGCGTCCCAGGGCCCCCAGATCTGACTGCCTGGAGGGAGCCAAGCACTGTCCCCTCCTGACTTGGATGGGACACGAAGAACACTCCCACCCCTCAGCCCCAGCCTGGGGCCACTGGGGCCACTGACTGAGACTGGGCTGGGAACAGAGTCTCTGGCTGCCCTGAGGTCAAGCAGCACCTGAAGTCAGATGGGCCAGAGGGCACCGTGGTCACCCAGTGCTCCTAGGAGGGAATCGTAATACCGGGAGGACCAGGCCATCTGCAGGCAGAGGATTTGCTAACCATGTGCCAGTGACCCCGCTAAGCCATCCCCTGTGCTAGCTCCTTTAATCATGCGGTGGCCATCTGGGGCAGGTGGAAGCAGTAATGTGGTCTCATGGGTGTGGAGTCGCGGTCTGGTGAAGTCAGAAAGTCCACTCGAGTCATTGGGCCAGGAGAGAAAGGAGGATTTTAATCCTGTGCATTGAACTTTACCTCCTCAAGACAGCTGGAAAATACCCAGAAAGCTGGCTTTGAGGGCGGAATCAAATCCCTGTGGACAGAGCTGTGGATGTGCTCAGTGGTAGAGCACTTACCCAGCATGCATGTGGCCCTGAGTTCAATCCCTGGCACTGGAAGACAAAACCCAACGGTGCTCTGCCCCAGCAAAAGAAGAGCCTTCCCTAAGCACATTCGTCATGTGGTAGAGGGATTGGCCCCGGGAGCTGCTGGCCACCTGGCCTGGAGCAGTCCCCTCAGCGCCTCACCCCGGAAGGGCCTTCTCGTCCGTGGCAGGACCAGATTCAGCTCTGCTCCTGGACCTCTGACTGGCCGGTAGACCGAGTGACACAAGCAGTATGGGCAATGCACGTGGTCACTCAGGCATGTGACCTGGCGGCCACTTGAATCTGCCAGGCCTTCCTCTGTGGGTTCTGCTTCTCCAAATGGAAGACTGTCTGCTCTGTCCTGTGTTGGTGTCTCATTCCCTGAGAGTCCAGGCCACTCTGCCTTGCTTTGCCCTCTCTCTCTGTCCCTCTGTCTCTCTCTGTCTCTGTCTCTGTCTCTCTGTGTCCCTCTGTCTCTCTCTGTCCCTCTCTCTCTGTCTCTCTGTCTCTGTCTCTGTCTCTCTCTGTCACTGTCTCTTTCTCTCTGTTTCTCTCTCTGTCTCTCTCTGTCTCTGTCTCTGTCTCTGTCTCTGTCTCTGTCTCTGTCTGTCTCTCTCTCTCTGTCACACTGTCTCTTTCTGTTTTTCTCTGTCTCTGTCTATATCTGTCACTCTCTCTTTCTTTCTGTCTCTGTGTGTGTCTCTCTCTGTCTCTGTGTGTGTGTTTCTCTCTCTCAATCCTCCCATCTTCTGAGCAACAGGCCCCATAGCTCTGTCCTAAAGGTCCCTAGAAATACATGGGATGTAGGTTAGAGGGTTGAATGACTTCTGTGCACTTTTGTAACTTCCTTCCTGTCCTCCCTTTCTCTGGTTTTCTGCCCCCACCAGCCCCAAAGAACTGAACGTGGTGGTGGGGACCAACGACTTAACCAGCCCGCACATGGACATTAAGCAGGTCACCAAGATCATCCTTCACAAGGACTACACGCGAGCCTACATGGACAGTGACATCGGCTTGCTGCTGTTGGCCTCACCCATTGAGTTCAACGGCCTGAAAGTGCCCATCTGTTTGCCCCCCACACCCAGTCCCATCAGCTGGCACCAGTGCTGGGTGGCAGGATGGGGACAGACCAATTCAAGTACATGACACGTGCTTCTCAGGAGAGCTGCTGGGAAAGAGCCATGTGGTGGGAGGAGAGAGGAGAGCACAGAGGCGGCGTGGGGGGGGGGGGCTTGGGCCCTCACACCCACAGGGCATGCATCCCTGAGGCCCAGCTGAATGCACAGCCTCCTTTGCTTAATGGGCAGAGCTCATTTCCAGAGCTTAGCAGAGCATTGTGAGTGAAGCTTGGGTTCTGGCTGCAAGGAGTTCTTGAACCTAGAAGCAGATGGGGACCACAGAAGATTAAAACCCCTCAGTAAGGGCAAGTGTTCTGAAACTTCTGTGTGCTCAGAGTTCATGAAGAAGAAAAGTCTGGGCAAATTACTGACACCTGCAGGGCCGGCCCACAACCCCCTGAAGTCTCCTCTAAAGAGCACTGGCCAATACACCTTTGTGTATTTTTACTAGGGTGCAAACCGGCTTCACATGACCCTTGGGGTGGGGGAGCTGTGTGCCCGCAATAAGCAGTAGAAAGAGGAAAACAAATTGATGGGGAGGATGGTGCAGGAAATAGTCACTAGCTGGGGTCCCTGAGAACCAGAGTCAGCAGGTCTGGTGGGAGTCAGGCCTTCCTGGGGGAGAGGCGAGGTTCTGAAGGAGAGGAGGGGTCCAGAGGGACCCAGCAGGCAGACGTGCCTGGGAAAGTGCGGTTGCCAGGTGCTCCTGGAGCCTCAGAGAGCGAGACCACGAGGGGTGTGGGTGGCAGTCAGGTGGGGGCTGTCAGCCCCATGGAGACCGGGCTCCTGGTGGCTTTCTAATGTCGCTTTTTCTGTGGTCCAGCTGAAAAAGCCTCCATGACGAACGAGCTGATGAAAGTGCCGATGGTCATCATAGACTGGAAGGAGTGTTCCAAGCTGTTTTCAAAACTCACCAAAAACATGCTGTGCGCCGGGTACGAGAACGAGAACTACGACGCCTGCCAGGTACCGCGCTGCTCTCTCTGTGGGGAAGAGGCGGGCAAGGTCCTGGAAATGCGCGGGGATCAGGGCCGGGGCTGGGGCCCGGCAGGGGCAGCAGCGTCTGGGTGCCGCGCACAGCAGCCTTCCGGGGTCAGTGGGCTGCAACCGCAGTGTCTCTGCTCTTCCGAGACGTGAGGTAATTCCGGCTCCGTCACTTTCCCACTGCTAGGAACGTCTACAGAGCAAAAGGCCAGCAAGGACTTGAGGGCCAAACAAGGAGTCATTTTCACGCATCATTTCAGCAATCCTAATAGAGCACAACAGGGGGTCCTGGGTCCTTACCTCAGCGACCCCACAGTCTCCTGGGCAGGGAGTGTGTGACAACCAATATACAGGTGCTGCAGGTGGTTTGCACTGAACCAAAGTTGCAAATGAACACAAGCATCTTAAAATCCCTTTTGATTGCTCACTAGAAAAATAGAAGTTCAGAGTTTAGCTCCCTCTGGCTCCAGAGATGGATGATAACTGGCACTTAAGCTCAGAGATGATCTCCGTCCTGGGAGAGGTCACTTGATGAAAGCTAGGGGCCTATTCACCGGTGGCCAGTGACTCACATCACGGAGGTGATGAGAACCTACAAATACAGTGTGGAATGATATGTGCAGAGACAGGTGGGCCACCCACAAAGGAGAATCCATTACTGGTAGTTCAAAGAGCCTGGCAGTTTTCCCGGCTGGGCTGTAAGATGGGTCCTTGGGAGCCGCTGCTGGGATGGGGTTGAAGCAATTAGGCAGAAGAGAAAGGCACAGGGATCTGAGGTCAGCAGCAGCAGGGCCAGCACCACACACCAGGCCCAGAGGGAGCCCCAGGTGTGAACCCTGGGGGGACCAGAAGGACAGCTGGAAGGACAGCAGGAATGAATGTCACCCTAGCCTCATGTTTTCTTCACTTTCCGATCCTCCTTCCAGGAGCAGGCACACTCCTTTCTGTCCCTTTCACTCTGTGAGCCAAAACCTGTATGGAGGTTGCCGGGGGGAAGCTGTGGGTGGGGGGAGAGGTACGCCCCCTCCGAAGGGCGGCAGGGGCATCCTGGCAGCCACAGGGGTGTTCTGTCTCCTGATGGTGTCAGTCTTGGAGACCTGATTGTGATATTGTAATTATACAGTTTCGAAAGATATTACCGGGGAAATTGCAGGGACCCAGAATCTCTGTTATGTACTCTGTTACTTTATTGCAACTGCATAAAGCCCACAGTTACCTCAAACTAAGATGCTCCACTTTGAGGGTCACTTGGAGTAGCACAGTCAAGCCAAATGGAAGTTCAAGCCTGCCCGTGGCCAGCATTGCTCTCTGGAGGACGAGGGTGCGGGCACACATCCGAGGCACCACAGGAGTTGTGCTCCTCTCCGTCTCCTGCCCCCAGATCCAGCACACATGTGCATTTGGACCTGAAGTCCCAGGGCCCCACTCAGGGCCCAGCCCATGACACAAGTTGAACAAATGTTCCTCAAGTAACCCAGCCCAGGCAGCCAGCTGTCCAAAGCTGTCAGTAGAGCAGCCATGGAGGGAGGTCTGCCCGGGAGAAATCCTGAAGCCCTGAGCGTGCAGGTGCAGCCCGGGTTGCGGGTGGTGCGGGGCACTGGACTCCGGACAGCTTGGTCGGGGGCTGTCCCGCTTCCCCACGCTTAGGCTGCTTCATAACCTCACACTTACCGTGCACTTCATTTGTATCATTATCCAGTTCACCCTAATGCAGGATCAGTGGGAGCCCTGAGCTTGTTCTCTTGCCACTAGATGGTCCCGTCTTGGGAGACAGTGGCACCCAAAGAGAGTTACTTATGCCCATTCTACTCCGCAATCTTGTCTTGGTTGATGTCACTGCAGAAACTGTGCTTCCTGAAGACAGGAAGCAGGACATGGGAGCAGGCCTTGAAGTGCTTCTGTGGAAATCTCAGGATATTCCTCCTTAACTGTAATCCAAAACCTAGGGAGATTTGACGCCGTTTCAAACATTCTTTTAAGACCACTAGCATTTGCAGTTGTAGATAACTGATCCTCTTCTACTACAAAGTCTACTCACCTGGCATATTGACAAGTGTGTTGTGGATCCATTCCTCCCCAGGCTAGGAACCTTTTGTGGTTGGAAGTAATGCTCAAGCTACTTTGAAAGCTGAAGTAGGAATTCCTGCAGTAGCTAGGAGAAAGAAGGTACCGACTGGTGCAGCCTCTTGCAAAATCCCTGCTAATGCCGACACATGTCAGGCATCCCAGTGTTCACTCGTCCGCCCTCATAACTCCAGCTTGGCTTTGAATGCATCCACCTTCTCTGTCAACTTGAGCACAGTTGTTGCTCCCTGAAGTGACATATTGAATTCACTGATTGGGTTGAATATGTCACATGAGTAAGCAAGTTTTATAAGCCATGATGTGCCACTGAAATGCACTACCAGAAACTATTTTTCCCGAAGAAATTTCTGGAGTAGCTCTCATAACTGCAAAACTTTGGCCAGCAATCTACACGTATGTATGTATGTATGTATGTATATAAGTATTTATTTTGGCACTGGGGATCAAACTCAGGACCTTGCACTTTCCAGGCAGGTGCTATGCTGTTGAACCATTTCCCTGGCCCCATCTACCTTTAGAAAGCTGTCTACTTCTGTGTACCAGGGAAGATGTGTGTGCACCGCTTACATCTCCTCACAGAGTTGCCAGAAGAGCTCTGCGCTAAGAGTATTTACTTGGATGATGTTGATCATTTTAATCACATTCTGCAAGACAGCAAGTTCAGGTGACCTTTTCTGGCTGGCCAGCTTTTCTCTATGGATGACCAGGGTGCAGGCACACACCCAGAAGTGACTTATTTGATCCATGGAGTGAAATCAGAAAGCAGCCTTCTCATGGCAGCCTCTCTGTCCGGGCACGCACCAACACCAATTGGTCAATCCAGTTTTCCTGATAGGTAATCGTTCAACAATTTGAACATTTCTTCAGCTGTGCTCTGGGCTGGCAAGAAAAATGCACAGAACCAATCCTGAACACTTGTGCACAGCTTCCTGAAAAATACACGACACAAAAGCAAGCATCACTGCCTCATTGTCGACACTGGTAGACTCACCAGCCTGGATTGTGTACCACTGACCCATTAATCCTCTCTACCAGCTGGTCTCACTGTCCTCTGCCATTTCATCAGCCTGCTGCTGGTGCTAGTGGAAAGAGGAATGTAGGCCACCTTTTTGCTTCTCCTACTAGCAGCAGACCTGATCAACTCGTCACCAATAGTAAAGAGCTTCTTAGTTTTAGCAATGCAGTTAGCCACTGAGGATGATGTCCTCAGGCACACGCCCTTGATGAAGCAGCGGCTTTCAGAATTGCTCCTTTTCTTGGTGCTCATGTTTCTGTCCTTTGGTGAGCTCCAAAGCCTTGTCTTTTAATGTGAGGTGCATGGTCAGTTTCGCAAGTTCCATGGTCCTATTGGGTAGCTGTTTGCCACGCAGAGTGGCACCTCGGTTCATGAACTTAATTCATCCTGTGACTCTGGAAAAGTTGGACATGCTCCTATTCATGTGGGAAACATGGCTGTGGTCATGTTTGTCACCTGATACAGAGCTCACAAAGAGTGTTGTCAAATGCTTCCGTTTGCAAACCAAACAGGTACCACTGTAGTATACAAAGAGGGCTTGGAGGGTGCAGATCACCTGTTGCAATGAACCTGCTGTTAGGTAGGGCTCTTGGTGTTCTCTTTTAAGTGCACTTTGTTTTTGTTGGCTATCACAGAGTCTTCTGCTCTCTTGGCATTGTGTTGTCCCCTATTCCCAAAGACCTTCTCCAGTGACATTTGGGCTTTACTCATTTAGCAGTGGGTTTACCAAAATTGTGACTGAGACTATTATGCAGTGGAAAAAAGAGGCATGGCAAGTAAAATAATGGCCAGCTCACACACGCACTAGAATAAATGTCAAATTCTGGCTTAAAACCTGGCACAGACGCAGATGTATAATTGAAGTGCATCAATTCACTTCCCACTATGAAGTCTGCCATGAGATGTAGCTTGCTACTTGCCTCTCACTGCTGGGGTTTTGATAGGTGGTCACAAACAGTTGATTTAGTATGGTCTCCCTGCAGTCCGACCTCTCTGCCGATGTTGGTCTGTATTTATGGCTCCTCCCCAGGACTAGCATCACTGCCTCAGCCTCACCTCAGATCACCGAGTGCTAGCTTCTCATTAGGACCACACAGCCTAGATTCCACACATGCATGGCCACAGTAGGGTGTGCATGCCACGAGAAGCTAAACTCTGCCGTTGATCTGACAAGAAGTAGAGCTCAGGCAGTAATTTCAGGTATGGGGAGAAACGGGAAGTACACATAAAGTTTTACCTGCTACTAACAGGGTACAGACACTCGCGGGTTCCTACTATAAACAGTTCTTCCTCTGTTATATATAGATTTTGGTGGGGTATTTTGTTTTTGTTTTTTTGTACCAGGGATTGAACTCAGGACCTTCTGTTTGCCAGGCAGGCACTTATGCCACTGCGCTGTCTCCCTGGCCCTATATATGGAAATAAATAACAAATTCAACAGTTAAAAGATTTTTATAACATTTATGCCTTTGTTATAACCACATTCATGGAACAAGTGGTTTGAGTGGAAAGGCAGTCGGTCACTTTCTTGGCCCACAACTCCATACAGCACACACTCACATGACACAGGCAAGAGAGAGGCAGCATTCTGTACCAGAAAGGGCCAGGGCTTGGGCGTCCTCGGGCAGGGGATACCCTCATCTGTGGCCCCAACCCTTCTGCTCGGAGATGCCTTCCACAGTGGAGCTAAACTGCACTCAAACACACTTGCTCTTTTCCAATCCTGCACTTTGCTCCTGTCCTCTGTAGCCTGAAATCCTGGACTCTGTCCTCACTGTCCATTTGTGACTGTCCCCTATGTGTCTGTCCTATCCATCTCCCTCCCTTTCCCACCACTCTTGTGCTCTGGTTCTGGCTCCCATGGTTTCCCATCCTCTCAACTGTCACCCTCCCACCCCCTGCCTGGCAACCCCCAAGCAGCCCCACACTCACCTTGCCAGGGTCCCGATCTCCACAGCTCCGGGCTTGGAGACCCTTGTGGAGCTCTCCCCCCTCGCACCCTGCTCTGCGTCTCAGCCGCACTCTCCCATCATGTCCCACACGTTGTCCTGTGCCTTCCAGTGCATCTCCCTTGCTGGAACAGGACGTGTCGTGTCCCCTGAGACTGGCACTTAGTTTTTCTTCAGTGAAGGTTTGTTAGTGCTCAAACTCTTCTGACCCTGAACATACTAACTTCAAAGTGGGAGTTAGGATAACTGCTCACAGAGCTGAGATGAGCTCTTCCTCCCCTGCTGGAGCCCCTCACACTGCCCATTGCTCCAGTTGCCATGTGCGGTCACAGCTTGGCTCCTCTCCCTAGAGAGAGACCTCTGGCAAGGCTGTCATTGCTCAGGTGAGAGAACAGCATCACCAAGTTGAAAAGGTGAACGGGGGCTTTGGCATCAGAAAACCCTGGCTTCCAGCACTGGCCTGGCGACTGGGACCTCAGCAAGCCCTCCCTCCTCCTTGAGGCTCACTGACACTCGCCCATTAAAAGGACAAAAGGGAGCCATGGCGGTGGATGCAGTGCATGGCGTGGTCATGCACTGGCGCATCATCAAACATTGTAAGGCCCCGACCCACAGGGCGGCCTCGCATTCGGGGAAGCTTAGCCATGTGTCCCTTGCAAACAGCTCATCAGAAAATTAAGAAGAGAATGCCATTCTCCCCCTTCCCAAGACACATCCTGGAAGAACACCCAAGAGGACCCTCTGGTGACTCCCACAAGGCTCCTATGTCTCCTGCCCTTTCCAGGGCCTCTGACTGAGGAAACCACGGTGGAGGAGCTGGCTTCGCTCACCAAGCCTCTGTCTTCCCTTCCCTGCACACCCTGGCCCCTGCCTGACTCTGTGCTGCCCCCCAACAGCACCAGAGCCAGCCTGACCACAGCACCCCCCCACAGTGCCAGGCTGGGGTGGGTGCCAGTGGCACTGAAGGAATGTGCTCTGGCAGTCTGCGGCAGGGAAGGTGATGGATCCCCTCTGTTCTTGCGCTGTGCCTGGCCTCTGTGGCCAGCTGAGGGACTGACTGGCTACTGACCTGTGTTCTCTGCCCACAGGGTGACAGCGGGGGGCCCCTCGTCTGCACCAGAGATGCCTCAGGCAGTAAGTGGTACCAGGTGGGCATTATCAGCTGGGGCAGGAGTTGTGGGCAGAAGAACACCCCAGGAATATACACCCTCTTGGCCAAATACGTCCGCTGGATCAAGAATGTGACGCAGCTGGAGGGAAGGCCCTATAGCCTTGAGGCACTGAGGAATTCTCCGAAACAGCCGCTTCAGTACTCCAGAACCTCAGCAAACCCCATGCCCTGGCTCCTGCCCTGCCTCCTGCCCTGCCTGTTGCTCAGAGCTCTTTTCAACTGGTATTAAAGCAGGTGCAAGTCCCTCGCGAAAGCTGATGCCCAGGCAGGGCTCAATCTTCCTTCTCTATGTAGCCCATGGCGGTCTACCATTCATGATCCTCCTGCCTTAGCTTCTTGAGTGCTAGGACCACAGACACGCACTGCCACCACACCTGCTTTCTGTCTTCTTTGGAGCACTTCTTTTGCTCTGGCATTACAAGATGCTAGAAGAAGCAGATGTCTAATTGTGAGCTGTGCAAATCCTCAGTGTGTTTGGTTCTGAGGAAGCAACTGGATGAGCCCTTACACCAAGAGGAGCGGCCTCCCTGCTGCATGCTGTAACCCAAGGCTTGTCCCAGGACGCTAGACTGCCCGCCCCCCGGCAGCAGAAGAACCTGGCAGAACTCACGAGCATGCAGCACTTACGACCTGAGCTGCCGCATGGGCAGCCCCAGCCCCTGCCTGCTCTGTGCCCAGGTGCTGTTGATGTGTCCCAGGGTAGAACTTCTGGTGCCACGGCCACAGAGGGCAGGAGAGGAGGGGATGGGCTCAGATGCTACTGGTGTGAGCCTTGGTGGGCACACGCAATAGAGATGCATCCAGGCATTTGAATATAGGGTCTGGACCCTGGGCTGTAGTGACTTAAAGGGGCAATTTAAGCCATGACAAGGGACGAAAGGCCAAACCAGATTCAGGAACGTGACCTCTTAGCCAATATCTAATTTTCTGAATAATTTCAAGGATTTGGGAAAGGCAATACATGGCGAAGCCCAGGGCTGCCAGTGCTGCCGGCTGGGTCCTTGTGGCAGGAGGATGACAGCTGTGGCGTGACTGTAACACAGGCGGTGTCCACACCATTGCCCCTGTGATGCTGCCTCGCAAAGGAGAGCTGTTTCAGTTAGAAGCCACCCCATTTCACTCTCAAGTGTGTGGTTCCTCCAGTGTGAGCACTGTGCCCTGCCCCCGCAGCCCCAGGTTTGCTGTAGGCAGTATCGGGGGAACTGGGCACCTCTTGCTAAATGGACCCGCAGCAGAGGACGAGCTGCTGAAACACACCAGGAGCGCCATGGGACTCTAGGTGGTTTCGGCTGGTCGTGCCCATTTGCCAGGTGTCTCAGGGACAGAGGCAGCATGACATGCAGGTCCTTGCCTTTACAGCACTGTAAGACACTCAGAGGGGAAGAGAAGGGGAAAACAATGGGGGAAGGACAGAACCATAGAGAAAATTTGATATCTGAAAGACTGGCAGAGAGGAAAACGTGGCAAGGAGGCCGAAAAGTGGCAGCCAGGGTGGCCAGAGGAAGCCAGGGAGATGCAGTGTCTCACAAGGTAGAGGGAGGGGTCGTTGCTTCATCAGGTGCAGCTGGCGGTCAGAGAAAGTAAAGGCCAGGCTGGGTGTGAGGGTGCACATATCCAATGCCGGCACCCCAGGGTGCTGAGGTGCAGGGTCACCAGGTTTAACCCAGCCCCAGCATCTTACTTAGTGAAGCAGAGAAAGAGGGAGGGAGGAGAGGGAGGGAGAGAGAAAAGATAGGGGGAGATGAGACGAGAGAGAGAGAGAGAGAGAGAGAGAGAGAGAGAGAGAGAGAGAGAGAGAGAAACAGGAAGGAAAGAAAAGAAAAAAAAGCAGAGAAGCTTATGATGGGTAACTTCAGGCACATGGTCAAGCGTCCAGTTCCTACTAAGACCCAGTACCAAGCCAAGGGCTGTTGTTCAGAGGGAGAGTAGTTGTCTGAAGATGATGCCAGTTCACCCACCAGGCCTGCCAGAGACTCCAAAGGGCGCCTCTACCGGCCGCTGCCCTCGGAGCACCACTGGCTCTCCTGGATCGCGCAGCCCCGGGGCAGAGCGGCCAGCCGGCACCTGGACCTGCCGCAGGGCCTCTGCCTGTCCTGGGCCCCACCCAAAACTAGCAGCTTTCCAAGTCCCTCAGGAAATGAGCCCAAGTAAGACACCCAGTGAGGCATATGTGGCCTCCAAAATCCAGATAGGCCCATTAGACATTGAGCCTCTTCAGTTGGAGGGGGAGCAACCCGTCCTGCACCTTAGAAGGGGCATCTCTACGTGCCCACACCGTTGGGCTGATAGAAATCTCTCTGGCACGTAAATACCTTGAATTTTAGATTTATTTCCCCTCTTCCGGCTCCCAAATGCTGTACTAACAAGTCCTGCTCACTTGGTCCAATCAGCGTAGTCCAGTATCGTCAGTGGAATGGACCAGTGCGATCTCTTGTGGAGAGAAAGGCAATCAAGATCCCTGCCAATCGAGTTGTGACTCAGGGCTGGAGAGTGACTACAAGCCCAGTGCAGGCCAGTTACAGTGCTTTGCTGGCCTTGCCAGCTGAAAGCAAATTTTTTGATAGTCCTCATGGATACATGAGGAGAGAAAGGCATTTGCCAAATCAATAGCTGATACCAGGACCAGGAGATGTGTTCATCTGCCCAAGCGAGGGCTCCACATCTGGTACAGTGGCTGTGACTGGAGTCCACACTCGATTCATGATAGTGGCAGTCCACTATCATACTCCAAGACCTGTCTGCCTTCTTTTCAGGCCCAGTGGGAGAACTAAATGGAAATGTGGTAGGTGCCACCTCCTCGCATCTTTCAAGTCCTTGATGGTGGCACTAACCTCTGCAATTTCTCCAGGAACACAATGTTGGCTTGGGTTTTACCACTTTACCAAGCAAAGAAAACTTTCTTGGCTTCCACCTAGCTTATCCAACTCCAACTGTGTCACACTGCAGGTTATGGAACCAGTGTGAGGATTCTGCCAAGTACTAAGTGTTTGTACCCCAGTTATGCCCTTGGAGCAGAGGAAATGACTATAGTGCGAATCCAAGGGTCTACTGGGCCCCCTGGGAGCCAGACCTGTGTTAAAGTTCCATTGATCACCTGACCTCCACAAGCCCCTATTCTCACTGGAGGATCACCGTGACATTTTGGGTCCCCTAGAATCACTGTTAGTTCAGATTTAGTGTCCACTAGTCCCTGAAATGTCTGATCATTTCCCTTCCCCGGTGTAAGTCACCTTGGTTAAAGGCCTTAGCTCCCCTTGGGGACAGATGGGAGGAAGATCAGCTGTATAAGTCTTTGGTGATGCATCAAGGACCTGGCCTTCCCTTCGTTCAAGGGGCTCTGGGTCTACAAACTTCCTCAAATCTGGGAGCTGGTAGAAGGGTCACAGTCCTTTGTTACTACATTTTGAAGAAGCTTTCTGCTCATTTGGCTTTACATTTTTCCAATTCCATAAGTCCAGGAACAACTGTTGTAGACTTTCTATGTCACTTTTGGGAGGACCATGGCTGGCTAGCCAGTGCCAAGACATGCATGGGTCAGGCTGTTCCAATCACTGTCCTGCCAGTGTTACAGTGTGTGTACCCAGCCTCTGGGGATCAAGTGCAGCCACTGGACCTCTGCTGCCCCAGGCTCCAGTCAGGCCCACTGCCCCTACATCTCCCTATTGAGTAATCATGGTCTCCACTGTAAGGTCTGGGATACAGAGAGGAGCCATCAGCAGGGCATTTCAGGGGTGCTGGTGCTCCCCTCACAAATCTGTTTCTCAGGGTATTAATGAACAGTACACTTTCTGAATCATCCCAGTATGAAGGATTATATTTAACTTAACAAATCCACACCCGTATTACTGAGCCACTGACTCCCCTCATCAAAAGGAAAGCAGGGAATACCAGGCATCTCCAACTCATTCACAGTGGGACACTTCTGATCCATACTTTTGCCAACAAGCCAAATAAGCCATTAATATCTTTCTTCTTTTCTTAAATGTATTCAGTATAGGGTCTTCAGGGTCTCACTACACAGATTTGACTCATAGTGATCCTCCTATTTTCAGCCTCCCAAGTGCTGGGATTATAGGCATGCACCGCCATGCGTAGTCTAACACTTTTCTTTACTCCATGAGCTACAACATTAAATTCAGAATACCCGTGCTCAGTGGGTCCATATTGGCAAACAGCCTGAGCCAGGTGTGTGTCTTGGCCACTATCATTCCACAGCCGTAAAATCCATTCCCACACTTGCTGACCAGGCCTCCACTTATAAGAGAAAATTCATGAAGTCCTTTGGGAGAATAGAGGACCTCCTTGTGGGTCACACTGTATGCCTCACGCTTAGGAGTCTTCGGCAATTTCAACCTGGATACAGACATAGAGGCAGAAGTGGGTGGCAAGGGTGGGTCCTCAGGAGGATCCGAGTCAACCTGCTTGGTCAACACTGGATTAGTTCCCCCAGGTATACAAGGAGACACCACCACCATAGGGGTGACTCTATGGTAGTCACATCCCCCCAGGCTTTAGTTGTCAGAGAAAAAAAGGAAAAACAAAAGCATGAGCTCAGCAAGACAGGTGTATTGCCAGACAAACCTGCGAGGGACCGCCCTGGCATTTAGACCAGACCGGTAACCTTCAAATAGGTAATAAGGTCTCTTATAGGTCACAAGCATGTGGGACGCTGTGAAAGGAAAAGTGGGAATGTGGGAATCTTTTCCCCTGGCAAAGTAATCTTAGAGGTTAGAAGCCCAACCCCCTCAGCCTCATCGGGAGCCTCCCAGCCATCTCCATCCCAGGTTATGGACCCCATTCTTTCCACATCAGATACCCCATCTTTACTCCAGAAAGCCTTTGAGGCCCAGCATTAAACTTAGGCTGTATTTCAGCCAATCAAGTTATGAGGGTCTGTGTTTGGTTTTCTGCAATTGCAACCCTGTGGCTAAAAGAGTTGAGGCTCTCAAAACCCACTTAGAAACTTGTATTTATGTGTCTGGAGTGGGGAATTTGAACCTTTGAGCTCCTTATTTTCCTTTATTAATTTGTTCCCACAGTTAAGAAACTTCAGATTTCCTACACAGGTCAGAGCTCATTGGTTGCCTTTGTTGATCTATCCAGTGACACTCAGAGCAACTAGCAGCATCACTGTATTTGTCATTTCTCCCTCTGCCAAAGGCATCCAAGAGTGTTAGATATGGAGGCTGAAATCCTTGCATCTCACAAGTGGCGAGTTAGGATAGCCAA